AGTCCCATGATCCTTTAAGTAGTGGCTTGGGGCCTTCATAATTAGAATAGGGTTCCTCTAAAGGGCTCCTTAGAAGGAGTACTATAATGGTTCTATAATGTAGGGGCCTTAATAATTAGATCCTTTAAGTAAGGTCTTCTCCTTGCAGGAACTGGCGGCCTGGATGTGATCAAGGCGCGAAGACCAGTTTGGATTCCGGGTTTTAGGGTTCAGGGTTTAAGGGTTTAGGGTTCAGGGTCATATTCTACAACTATATATATATATATATGTATCTATATATATATATATATAGGTTTAGGGTTCAGGGTTCCGGAGATTAGAGTGGCTAGAGTTTAAGTTTGTTCCGGAGACTACGGTTTCAGGGTTTAGGGTTCCTTTACTGCTAGGGCTGCTTGCTCCAACTCCGGGCGAAGTGGAAAGCCTGTTGCAAAAGGGTTCCGCGATGTGCTGCAAGGGAAATTGGCCGGGCGAGCTCCCATCCAGCCTGTGTAAAAAGGGTTGCGGGATTGAGGGCTCAGGATTGAAATGATTGCAGTCCATGTGCTTTCTGTTCAGGCTGGCAGTCATGTGGCTGATAAGTACTGCAGGCACTGTGGAATTATGGTATACTTCGCAACTGTGGGAACTCAGAAAAATACTGCTGAGGTCTGCAGAGACTGTGGTAAACAAAAGCACCACTTTTTCCCTATATGCTGATACTATAAGACTTTAAGATAACTCCAAGCTCGATTCGACTTGTTCAAGCCCTAGTATTGCCTTTCAAATCCGTTGTAAGGCGCAGAAATCCAAGCTCTTATTTGCACCTTTTTTTGTTCGAGGGCCTACATAGAATATTTGAATATTGCCCCTGCAATATCTCTTGAAGGACGGCTGTCCTTCCTGCGATGGTTTGGCTCGTGACCAGGTAGTTTATTGGTTTCTTCGGATGACTCTGCTATATTATGACGCTTGCGTCGGGGTAGATCCGTTCTTTGCTGTCGCTGCCTGGTGTTGGTGCCCCTGCTTCTCCCACTGAGGATCAACAGCACCCCCTAAGGCTCCATGTGCCCATATAGTGTATAGTATTTTGGGGGGTCCTTGTTATAATTGTAGCCAAAACCTTATTCTCATTATTTAAGCCCCTACATTAATGACCCTAAACCCCCTGTGGCTGAGGCCACCTGCTGGAGGGAAGTGGAGGCTGCAGTGCAGCATATCTTTTCCAGGCCCTCTGGTCTTGGTTTGGGGTTTAGGGTTTGGTCCTTTGAGATAGTCTAGGAAGAGCTATAGGGGCGATGGAAAAAGGAGCTCAGTAAACCAATTCTCAACCCTGAAAGGCTTATTGGTGGGTGGAGTAGGATCGTGGGTCTGCGGGTCTCCTTGCGTCTGCTTGCTCTTGCTGGCTCCATTCGGGTTTGCGGCTCCGCGGCCCTCTGGGGCTTAACATCCGGGCTGGTTGTTAAATCGTTGCTTATCTTCTTCGGGTTTCGGTGCATCGTATTATTAGTAATTGGCGTTTCTTGCGAGCCTTCCCCAATCCGCCAACGAAGCGGCACAACCTGCAGGCCACGGGACCAACAGCACTGCAATCTGAAGGCTTACTATAGGATCCTCAGTAATTACCAAAAATACTCCTTATAAGGGGCCAGGAGCACAAACCCCCAAACTCAGGAGTGGTTTTTGGGTTTAGAAGGGTTACAGGATGTTGTAGGGTTAAAAAGGTTTAGGATGTAGGGTGTTCAGCAACGCAGGAGGCAGAACAGGAAGAACAGCATTGGTGCTGTCGCAGTCCTCGCTAGTCTCAGGGCTAGAGGCTCTCTTGCTGTTAAGAAAAGTGTGTCGAGTGCAGCAAACTCTTAAGCCGTGGCCAAACAAGCAAGCCCATCAGTCCTACAGCTTCAGGGAGTACGGCCTGGCGGTCTCGCCCTACAAGCGCGTCATCGACGAGTACCGCTGCGTATGCTGCTCTGCATGATGGCGACTAATTTTCTGGGTTGTGTGGGCTTGGCGGGCTTGATGGCATGGTTGCTCCTGACTTGATTCATAGTTGCACTCAAAAATAGGCGCCTCAATGGCTTCAATAATTACCAATACTATGTTGGGGTTCCTTCTTATTGTCATTGTAGTACAAGAAGTTCCCACACCCAAAATCCCTGTTAAAAGCATGTAGGCCTCCACGTTACAGTCCCGGGGTTGAATCGGGTTCTTAACATACCCAAAGGCTCCATGTACCCATATGGCAGATACCTAAGCCTTAAAGGGGTCCCTATAAAGGTACTTTAAGGCCGAAGTATCTACGATATGGGCACATGGAGCCTTAGGGATAGTTTGTGGTTTGATAAGGGCTTTCGAACCTCAGAGGTGCGAGCCAGCAGGCGGTGCCACAAGGCGTCACCTAACCTTGGTGTTTACGTTTTTACTTGGTTCCTGAGTAGTACCCTTTTGCCCTTGTTATTGTATGGTTCCCTTCTTGAAACTGAATAACGGGAAAAAGGGTACCCTTATTATTAAGGGGTCACTCAGGAACCTAGTTTAGGGAGGGCTTAGGGTCTAAGCTGTTTCGTGTTTGGAGGGCTAAGGGAGAGTAAGGTACGCTCCTCGTCTCAGATCTCTCTCATCCGAGTCCCTGCTAGGTCTTGGGCAGCAGGCGGGTGGAGCGGCGACCGCATGCGCACGGCAGTTTGGGTCTACTACAGGGCCTCAGGCTAAGGGTGGTTTTGACAAGTGGTGCTTTGTGGCGAACTCGTTCATGCGTGTCTTTCATGAGACCTTGCTACTGCTTGGAGTGTGGCGGATTGTGGCGGAAGCTATTCGAACTGCCAGCCGAGAAGAGTTTGGGGCATAAAAGGGTAAACGAACCTTTGGACTCCAGGGTTCAGTTTTTAGGGTTTAGGGTCGAGTCAGCTGTCCTGGCGTGACGTTGCAAGCCAGTTGCAAAAGAGTTATTGTATGTAGCCCAGGAAGCGTCAACAGGTCTAGCAGGAGTCTCAACAGTATCTTCGACAGGGATGAAATGCTTAATTACGGCTTTGGAAGCCGCCATGAGGCTGTGCCATCTTTGTAACGGTGGAATTAAGTTTGAATAATGAAAAGCGCGCACATATGCCATTTTCTGAGAACACTGGTGTCACCTAGGCCCTGTCCATGCTCCGCCGCAGTTGCAGGGTGGCTTCCGGTTCTAATTGGAAGCTTGGCACGTATAATTCCGAGCTGTGCAGGTGAAGCTCACCTATCGAAAAGCCTTGGCCCCAGTTGCGCGAAGCAGCTGGACTCGTCATTTAGATTAATACCAAGTGCTATTAATACTAAGACTTCTACTAATAAGCATCATACTGTCAAGTTTTTCTAGTAAGATGTAGATCAATGTGAATCATCCCGCAGGATGCCGGGGGGGAAATGGAAGAATCGCTTGCCCTAGCCGTCGAGTCCACAAATCGTGCAGTGCTATTTAGGGTTTAGGGTTTAGGGTTTGGGTTTAGGGTTTAGGGAAGTAGCATGGCCTGCTGCAAAAAGGGAAGTAGCATGGGAGCATGACTGTTCTTATGGGCAGATCCCTAACCTCTACATCATTGTCTTTCCGTAATACCTTTATATCCTTTGCGACCGCTATAGACTATATCCTGTCATCACTTTTCGCGCTGCTAACAAGTTTGCGCAGCTTGCACCCTGATGTTAGTTCCGATAGTTGCGCCCTACGAGGCTAGTCCACATGGAGCCCACATTCTGTGAAAATGGGTTTGTCTTGGCTCCTGTACGTTTTTCTGATTGCCACTTTCTCTGTTGGTTATGTGTCACTTGTTGATCTTTGTCCATCCACGCTTTTACCACGATACCTTTCTGAAGAGTACCTTCGGTTTAGGTCCAGGGCCCGTCCCGAATTGCTGCCTTGATGCATTTCGGGTCTAAGTGTTTCAGTTCGATGCTTCAGATGCGCAAGGGTATGAACCGAAATGCCTGAAGTTGCGTTATCATAAGGCCGTGCGGGATGCGGCTACAGAAGTAGTCTCATCCATGACTGAGCCACTCAAGGTTCATTTGAGCAGCTTTTGGGTTGGTCTGGACGTCTGTTGATTCATGGAGCACCCATGGTGGAATTGTTGGTAGTGGGGTTGTTAGGTCTGGTATGCAAACGCGACTGGCGCAGAAAAAGTTTCAGTTCTTCAAGCATTGTTGCCCGAACCGTGCCTGTGCCGAGCCACATTTCAGTTGCTCAAGGTCAGGTTTCGTGGGACGTCATAAGACGTCCGGCTTCTTCATATACCACCTTCGCCGTAGCCCAGCAACAATGGACTCCGTCAGCCGCGGCCTATTCCTTGCACTCCTCTGTCGAAGCAGTGAGATAGTGCAGGGAACTTCCATCAAAGCAGGATCGTCCGTATCTACCGAGGACGTGGAGGCGAAGTCACTCTGAACAGATCGCTAATGCTGTCCCGAATGCTGTCAAGACAAATCCACGGCTGTACAACAAATAGCCCCACCGTGCCGTTTATGCTGTACCTACCTACTTGCCTTTCTGTCTGTCTGCCTATGTATCCATCCAAGAATCTAACGATCAACCTAATTCGACCATTTGTTGATTTGTTCATTTATTTGCTCATTTTGCGTATGTTGATTTATGTACATGTCTGCATGCAAGTGCAAACACACAATGACGCATACAGATTATGGGTATACCTATTATCCATGCATGTATTTGTATAGAGAGTTATCTAGAAGCTTATCCATGTTCTCTGCCCGCATATGTAGACACACACGTTTTCTTAGTTGCAAGTCTGGTCTGTGCATATATATATATACACATGCATACAGATCAATATACACCACTGTGTCTAGATTCTAGATTCACTGATGAGGTGGTTGGATTGTTGTGAGGGGGGCTGCTGCCAGAAACCATGTTTAATGCCATTTTGGTGTGCTTAAGACAGAACTGTAAAGACCTGGCATCAGTCATAAACAGGTGTGTTGTTCTTAAGGCTGAGGTCCTGTGAGCGCAGAGACGGGATACACTTTCCCGTATGAGGCGATCATACCTACACTACAAACCAAAAAGAACCTACGTTATGCAGCTACCATGCGAGACTTTGCTGTCGAAACCGGGAGGCCTACGACTCCTTCCGCAATCAGTATGGGCGCAACGAGGAGTATGGCTCTAGGGTTTAGGGGTTTAGTGCTTTACGGTTTAGGATTTTCCGCAATCAATATGGGCGCAAGAAGGAGTATGGCTCTATAGGGTTTAGGGGTTTAGTGCTTTACGGCTTAGGATTTTCCGTAATCAGTTTGGGCGTAACGAGGAGTATGGCTCCGAGAACTACCGGGAAAGGCTGGCCTTCTTTGCGAAGCGGCGGGCAGAAGTGGATGCCCAAAATGCACAGCCACACAGACTCTGGTGGGCGAAGCTAAACAAGCTCCTTGGCTGGAGAAGGAGGAAGATTCAAGTCTAACTCGTCAGAAGAGACCTACCGGCACAGACATCGCTTGCTGGGACTCGTATTCTTGCCCCTTGTCCCTGGACCCGCGCACTGTGGCCTTGACAGAGAGAGAGAGAGAGAGCAACATGCATATTATCGATGTATATATACATGTATATATGTATATACTTACATGCATATACATATATATATATATACGTACTCCTTTGCAAGCTTGTGTAATTTTGTATGCGCATAGATATGTAGATATGTGTGTGAAGGGGAGAAGCCTCTCTCTAGTCCTGGCCATGTTTTTAAGTCTATGTTTGGCCCGCATCGGCCCGCGCGCACGTGCAGCTGCACATCCTCCATTCCTTAAGGACGAAATGAACCCTAAAAGGGTTTAAGGTTCATATACCATATAGGGATTCATAGTATATGGATATAGTACCCCTACTTTTAAGGGTTATTTCGTCCTTAAGGTTGGTGACAGCTTTGGAGCCGCAGAGACCCTGACTCCTTGCAGGTTCGCCGACATCACAGACTCCGAGTACCGAGCTATGCTGGGCTACCGGCGAATGGGATGGACACCCGCCAGCTCTGCCATCATGCGCCGCTTGGGTGCTTAAAGTCCTCGAAACTTATCGACGCCTGTTGCGTGTCACCAGACATTACAATATACTTCACTGATGCGGTGTTATTTCCTCAGGCTGTCAGCGCAAGAAAAGCATAGCTTTGCGTTCGGAGGTTTCATCGAATGTAGGGGTCCCTTATTCTCGTTTGCCTAAAGCAAGGATCTCAACATGTTGGTTTTTGGTTTGGAGTTCCTCGTTTTCTTGCAACTCCCATGTAGCCTCGCTTTGCCACTCCATTCTGTAGAGAACTGAGAGAGTCTTCCATTTTCCTCCGTTTAAGACGGACTCATCTTGAATCCTCACTTGACACAACAGGGTGAAACCGTTGAAGCTCTTCTACCCCAGAGTATGGGCGGATATTCTGCGGTTATAAGTGGAAGTTATCTTATCTCTCTGTGTAAATGGGTCTGCCACTGCCTTTGTGCCCTTAGTGTTTGTTGCTTGAGTACTTGGAGACGTACGTAGTGCAAGCTATAAGGCCGAAGCTGTGTGTGCAAGGTGGCGGCTCCTCCTTCCTGCAGATGGACAGAAGGGCTGGCTTCAGGGTTTAGAGTTTAGAGGAGGGAGGCACAAAGAGCATGAGTTGGAAGCGAGACGGAGAGAGGTGCACCACGCGTGGGCTCTTCACTGCCGATGTTTTGATACAATCGTCACCGGACAATGCATGCGATTGTTTGCTAAGCATCACTAGCTCCGGCCCTTTCAGTACTGCTCCATTGTAGTTCCTCAAGTTACGGCAAAACCCTAAGCCAAACCCGAAAGGCATTAAACAACCCTAACCTAGACCGCGAAGGATTTACCAGGAGAGCCGAACAGGTCTTTCTCCAGACACAAACGTCCATGCATGCATGCATGCATGCATGCATGCATATGTGCAGAACTGCTCTCCTGTACAGGTGTGTGTTTATACAGAATATGAAAGTACACATGTGTTTCTGGCTTTGATACGATCAGTGAACATATCCCTTAAACCTGCCTTAAAAGACCACCCCACTCTGTGCCCGACGCCACTGCGCATGTACCACTCTCCAGGACACTTTGGCCACCTCGCGGGATTGGCGGGAGCTCAAATCGAGCAGCTTCCTCCGTGTGCAAGGCTCCGCCGCATCTACCGCATAAATGTCTACTTACTTGCAGTATACTCGTATACTCACAAACATTTATCATAATCAATAGTGACAGTATGGAAAAACAACCCCTCAACCCTAGTCTACTTTTTAAGGCTCCTCATGTCTTCAGCTTTGCGGTTTCGGACCAGGAGAGTTCGCAGGTTTGGCGAGGTTGGGGCGCAGGGCCGCAATTCCTGTAGAGAGGGTTCCAGGATCTTAGAATCTTAGAATACATGTATAGGGAGTATAGGATTAATAAGTTTTTTCGTGTCTTGTGGGGTTTTGAGGTTTGGGGTTGCGGGCGTATGAGCACAGATAGCTGCGGGAAGAGGTACGCCGTGTAAACAAGATACTTCTGGGCTGAGGGATGCTGAGGAGCCCTAAACCCTGTATAAACCCTAAACCATCTGTAAACCCCAAGCCCCATATAAACCCTAAATTCTATATACATATATATATATATATATACACACACACACACATATCCTATATACACCCTACACCCTATATAAACCCTATACCCTACATAAACCTTAAACCCCGAGGAGCTACGTAGGGACACCAGATCATCCCCACTACTGGGGCTCAAGCCTCAAAATGTGGGTGCCTTCATGATTTTGAAAAGGTTTTTGGGGGTTCCTTAAAGGGCTCTATAAGGGCGACTATAAGGGTTTAGGGTTTAGGGGCTTTAGTAATCGCCTTGGTTCCTGGCATATGCGTAGTCCAGGTGTAAAAGGGGCTTTAGTAATTTCGAACAGGGTTTTAGGCTCTGTTATACTATGATTATACTAAAGGATTCACCAGAACCCTATTCTTCTCATGAATACCCTTATATTAGTCCTTCGGGGACGGTTTGGGGCCCAACGGTTTTCATAGGATCTTCAGCTCTTATTCGGGACATGGGCTCTGTGGAGTCCTCTTTCGATCGGGTCTTCTGCAGCATACTGTCACTATTGATTATGGTAACTGTTGGTGAGTATATGAGTATACTGCAAGTATGTATTCATCTCAAAAACGGTCTTATCCGAAGCCCTTGCTTAAGTCCAGAACCTGTGACCCGTGGAGTGCATCAGCCATCAACCACTTTGGTGTTCACGGTTTGGCTGTTAAGGCCCTGGCTTCTTAGAATTGTTGGTTTAGGGCTTTGGAGTTTTCAGGTGCGTGTGTCGAGCTCTAACATCAGGTGGATGCGGCTCGTGTTGGGCGGTTGCTGCCGCTGGCGCATTGGAGATGCATGCACCCTGGCCGTTCACTGCGAAAGCGGCAACTGCCCGCATGAGTGTTGTGACTATGTTGTTTCAACCGTGTTGCATCTCGTAGTGTCGTATTTGGACCTGTTGTCGCCTTCCAGATATCTTGTTCTGCATTCGTCAAACAGTGTCATCGTCATCGTGATTGTTCATATATGATGTTATCTTGATGTCATTGCGTGCATGACACAGCATCTGATCGTTCCTCCTCATCTTCCGAGTCGTAATCGTCGTCGTCGCCGTAATCGTCGTCGCCGCCGTCGTAGTCGTGGTCGTGGGTGGTAGTAGCAGTTGCAGTCGCAGTCGCAGTCGCAGTCGCAGTCGCAGTCGCAGTCGCAGTCGCAGTCGCAGTCGCAGTCGCAGTCGCAGTCGCAGTCGCAGTCGCAGTCGCAGTTGCAGCAGCGGCAGCGGCAGGGGCAGGAGAAGTAGTAGTACTAGTCGTCGTCGTGGTAGTGGTAGTAGTCGTCGTACTTGTCGTAGTAGTCGTAGTAGTAGT